GACTTACCCACCAGACTGAGGAAATCTAAATATTTCTATGTGGATTTGTAGACACTGTATTCTAACAGGTAACAAAGGAATCCCAACTGTTTTTGTCCTTTCAGTTCCACCTTAAACACAGATGATCTCTGTATGTTATTGGAAGAAAAGCATGCATGTTGGTAAACTAGATATAAAAAACGTGGCCAGGAAACAAGAGCTATTACTTTGAGACATGTATGAGTGGCAGGGGATACCCTTACATCTACAAGAACACGAGATGATGTATTCTGCCTATAAGACCAGGAAGGAGAGGAAGACGAGGTGCAGAGGAGTACTTGCAGTTTCCCTCGCAGTTACTTACTAGGCTCTGGAAAGACAGAAACTATTAGAATTTTTAATAATAATCACCTTCGTCCATACTCTTAAGCGAAATAAATAGGACACACATGTGTAGCTACAGAATAGTTTCTCTGGTATGAGAAACTAAAAGTGTAAATAAGGTTCAAATTGTATAATTGATAATGTGAAATAGGAAGAAAAGGGCTAAAGGAGTAGGGCAAGTGGGAAGGGTAGGGGAAAGGAAGGAAGGGAAAGAAAAAATATGAGAAAAGGAAAAAATGGAAACAAAGTCTTTGTAAATAGGGGAGGGTGGAGGGAGTGAAGGGAGGGCAGGAGAATAGGGAAAAAATAAGAACCAAGATGCATCATGTAAAGAAAGGTACAAGATCCAGGGCTGGGGAGTTAGCTCAGTGGTGCTGCAGCCTGCCTCACAAGTGCAAGGTCCCGAGTTTGATCTCCAGTAACAAAAAAAAAAAAAAAAAGTACAAGATCCCAATGATGAATATAACTGTACTGTATATCTAAAAAGTACCAATAAGTTTAATGAAAAAATAATAATCATCCTCTTCAATTCTTGGCCGAGTTTCCACAGAAAATGAACTTCTTTAAAATTCTTCATTTTGAGATCCTACCATGTTGCGTTATTCTATTTGGACACTGACTCCAAATACAGGTCTACAACACTTTTTCAAATGAATCCAATGTAGTTAGTTCTTGAGATTTTATTCTTTTTGGTTTTGAGAATTGAATACAGATACATCCGATTTAGCTATTTCCAGAGCTTTTTATTTTTACTTTTCAATTTTTAAAACAAGGTCTCACTAAGTCCATACATTGCCCTGCACCTGAACTTTGATCCTTTTGCCTCAGCCTCAGGAATTCTTGGCATCACAGCCATGTGTCAGCACACCTTATTGAAATTTTGCCTTCTTGATTTAATAATACCTATTTCATTGGGATTTGTTTGCTGTGACTAAATTCCTGAGAATATCAGCTCAGAGAAACAAAGAGTTACTTTTGGTTCATGGCTTCAGAGGCTTTGGTCCAGCATCAGCTGGTTCCATTTCTTTCAGGCCCAATCGCTTTCCATTGTCCCATTGCTACCCTTTAGGGAATATTTTAGAGCCAACCCAATACATTTCTCCAAATATCTATGCTATAATTTAAAAAATCATAGGTGTGGGAGATTTTTCTCCTTTATATTAATATCCAAAATCCGAATCTCTACTGTCTCTTATATGACTGAACATATCTGAAAACTTGCTGTACCCACAGAAATGAGAAAAAGGATGTTGAATTATTTTTATCTTTGTGGGTCTGCCATTAAACTTTTTCTCTTCCTGAAAGGACTATAGCATTTATATGAAACCTCATGATATTTGTTACACAATGATTTCTATGTTCTTTTCCTTACATCTTTTATTAGCGTTGGAGGTTTAATTACCACAAAGATACATCCACATGTTGATATTTATTTTCCACACACTTAAAATTTTTTCCTCGCTGCCTACCAAATTACAAGGAATATAACCTATTTAACTTTTTCCTTTCTTATTGTTCGCTAATTTGAAGGGAACATAACCTATTTAAATTTTTCCTTGAATTAGATAATTTTTCATTGCATCTCCAAGGCCATGGCAAGTTACTCCCACCCCAGTAAGTTTTAGATAAGTGTTCTGAAGAGACATTTGTATTTCTTGGAACCTCCTTGGAGGCGAAATGTATGAAACACTAAGTTAATTCACTGTGTTTGGGTTTTTTTGTTTGTTTGTTTGTTTTTTTGAGACAGGGTCTCACCGTGCATTTGAGACTGTCCTGGAACTCACTATGGAGCGAGCCCATGCTGGTCTCGAACTCACAATGTTCCTCCTGCCTCAGCCTCCCGCGTGCTGGGATTACAGGCGTGCGCCACCACGCCTGGCTAATTCATTGTGTTCAATTGCACAGGTAAAATATATTCTTGATCTTTGAGATCTCTGGCCAGTTTCCACTAAATATCTTATGAAATTTCCAATGCAAATACCAATGTGACTTGCAATCTTTCCAAGTTCACCATTAGATCCTACAATGGATGATACAATAAATGAGACTACTCATCACCTGTCTGGAAAAAATATTTTTAAGACATGGTTGACGCTCCCAACGGGTGGTCAGGCCTGAATTTCACTGTCAAATTTATCTTCTATCGGGAACATTATTTGTCATTAGAGGAGTACCAGTATGAGGAATGTGACTAAGAAAATGTTGGGCTGCTCTGTGCTAGAGGGCAGACAAGAGATTCTGCACTATTTGTTTCCATGAGAGCAAGATACAGCCTTCATAGGAGGATATGTTGAGGTCCAGCTGCTCAGTTTCCAGCAAAGATGCACACTGGAGGTAACCAAGAAAAGGGTGTTGTAATGCAGGGAGAACCAGTAGACAAAATGCCAGCTCTGGAGACCCAGGCAGCTCTCAGGAAATCCTGGGAGAAGGGGAAGCAGCTAGAAGATTCATTCTAGCCAAATGAGTCCCACAGATAAAACTGAAGCTATATTGAAACACACTGCTGCTTTTCTTCTCGAATCCTACTTCAAGTTCATGTTTGAAATGAAATGGCATGTTTCTCTTCATGTTCTGAGAATAATTAAGGAACAGTGACAATAGAAGTAATTCCAGGAACAGAGGTATAATTCCAGGTAGGAAGAGGAACTCTAGATGACTTCAATAAAGAGGTCTAGTCCCCGTGTTCAGGTACCAGATATGTGAGAGGGCACAATCAAAAATGCTCTCACCACAGCATCAATTTGTTTTTGGTAATTCCTACCTTCTAGGACCATGTAAAGTGTGTAAACTACATGAAGAATGTGGCAAATTACCTGGTTTATTTTAGGTTGTTTTGTTTTTTTCTAAAGAGCAGGTATTGCTTTATTTTGATCCCAAATCTTCCACCTTTATCCATGAATGTTTTAAATAGAAGCTTTCTCAGAAAATAAAGTGCCACGGGGTATGGAATATCAAATGAGACAAAACTTAGCAAGCAAAACTAACTTTTTGCACTCAATCTTCACTATTTAATGAGGTTGGAGGCTGCCTTCTTCAGTTGTATTATTCAGAGAAGAAATTCAAACTCCTTTCTTTGCTCATAGTTGTCCTTCAGCCTAAGTCCTACTTTTATTCTTTTCACCTCTCCCCAACAAATTTTGTGCCCTTATTTATTGCTTGTCAAATTACAAGCAAGATAACTTACTTAAAATTTCCTTTTAAGGCGGATGTAGTGGTGCACGCTTGTAATCTCTGCACTCTGGGAGGCTGCGTTGGGAGGATAAATTGTAGCACACCCTGGGCAATGTAGCAATTGAGCCAGCTGTGATTCAAAAATAAAAAATAAAAAAAAAGATATAGTGAACATATAGTGCAATGTGAAGGCTCTGGCTTCAATACCCAGTTACCACCCTCCTGCCGAACAGCTTTGAACGAAGTGAACATTGCCTCTCTGGGGTTGTGGCAATGCATGCCCACCTACACAGGGCTTTCAGTAGCCAGTCTCAAGGTGCATCATCCTTATTCCTCAAAAAACCCTTGGAGATGATGTGAATAAAACACTCCATTTGTGTAGTGATCAACTGTATTGAAGAGGAGAGGAGAATGTCTACCATTTGTGGCATAGGTGAGAATCCTCCCAGAATTACCCATGACCGACAGGGAACACTGATAAACGATTTTCACAACAGGCTTCCGGTATTAAAATCTGAGAAATATAGTTTGAGAGGGTAGTCCCTGCTCGCCATTCCTTCAGCCTCAACTGACACACAGTTCAGCTCAAACCAAAACTGAGGTCCCTGGGGAAAAAACCATGAAGTTTTCTCAATCTCCAAATGCTATGCTGGAAGAAAAAAATGTATTTCAGCAACTCATTTGAACTTGCCCTCCTCCTCCTCTTCCTCCACATATGCAACTTCTTCCTACTTGTCTGTGGATTATTAGAAGACCTATCTTTTTCTCTATAAGATTACTGTCTCCTAAGTTAAAACTCTCCAGGCAGCCTCTCAGTCCCCTGACCCTAGGAGGCCCAGAAGTAGTGCACTGCTTTACCAAGAGCAGGTACACAATTCAGGTTTTGACAATACTGAACCAGTAAGCACATAATGTAATTCATTAATATTTATTTCTCATAAACTGTAGAAAATAGCTAAAAACCAAGCATAAGTCATTTAATTTTACAGAACAAGATGGAATAAAAAAGGGCACAACTTAGTATCTTTTATAATTTCCAATATCTCAACTGATGTCAGATATATTAAGGTTGATTTCTTTCACATTTCCAAAAAAGTCTATATAAATATAACGTTTTGTTACGCCACATGACGATATAAAATTGATGGTTTTAAAATCTGTTTTATACACCAACAGCAGTATATTACTTAACCTCATAAATGGCATAACATGTGTGAAAAGTATTGTTTGACTATCAGAATACTGTGTGTAATTAAATCTACGTTAAATGAAACAATACTTGTTAAACAGCATAAGCTTCAATGAATAAAAGAATACCTTGTCAGGTTATATATTAAAAACAGTAACAGACAGATAATACATTCTGGTTTCCCTACAGACCCATTACAGCACCAACCTTCTTCCCATGGCATTCTCAGAACAAACCACTCTTGGAATAACAAGCGAACAAGCCACGTCTCACATGACTAAGTATGGGAGAAACTGCTGCTCAGGGCACTGTAACTTATAGTTTCCCTTGAACTGGAGGCAGCACTCAGGGCAATACTAGCTAGTGCTTTCTCTTCTTCCTCTAGCAGAGCCTTTGCAAACTGAGATGGGAAATCACATGGGTCGGCGCCCAGAAACTTGTCCACAAAAGCCAGGACTTTCATCTTGCTGGTTTCAGCATAGGCTCTTGGGCCCCAGAGGAATTCATACTGTGGAAGATCACTGTTGGCCACCAGCCGGTATTCCACATACTTTTCCTGCACAAATTCTTTGGTGATGACCTTCCCCGGCTCCCCAAACAGAAAGTGATTTTTCCCAGAATACATCCCTGCCAGATTCAACGCTTTCCACATCTCCTCTTCAGGGGCACGGTTGCCCTTCATGAAGATCACACCCAGGACAAGCATCAGGAGCCCAGTCTTGGGCATGCCTTCTTCACCACTTCGCATCCCATCGTAGGTGAGGCCCAGCTTGATGAAGACACCGTAGCAGTGGCTGATGGGATCCACTTCCTTCACATCTAAGCCAAAGATCATCTCCATGCGCTCACAGGCTCGCAGTAAGATCTGGGCGAAGTGTGCTTCATCCTCTTGTGCTTCATCCTCTTGTATGATAACCTTCAACATATCTGCCTTCCTTATTGGCTCTTTCATCTGATACTTGAGCAGCATGAAACTCACTAAGAAGGACACTTTCTCATCCACAGCACTGCGGGGCACATTCCCAGGGGCTGCTGCAGCCTGTCTGGTACTTGAGATCTGCTCATTTCCTTGGCTACTAACAGCCTCCGCAGAATTGCTCAGAGACAAACAGAAATGCTGAAGACCCTCAGAAGTATTGGGCGTCTCAGCCATAGGTGCCTCCTTCAGAGAACTGGGAACAAGAGGATGGGATGAGGAGGCTAATTTGTCTTTCTCAGCCCAGAAGACCTGTGCAGTCTCTAGGCCTCTGGCCTCGCTGTGTATCTGAAGGTCTTCATCCTCTAGGCATTCTAGATTTGCCTGACACTGAGACATAATGATGTGAGTGAACAGTAGGAGGGAGAAAAGATGAAAAAGTATGGCCAAGGAAGAATCACTACCTAAGGGTAAAGAGAGGATGTCAGTGTCCCCAGCATTACTACTCAACTATAGCGGCTCTGATGGAAGCTACTACCAATAACAGACTCTGCCTGAGAAGGGTGCTTATAAGACCTCACTAGACTCCTGTGATTCTGATTTCTATGTCCCCGAGAAACCCAGAGGACGAAGGACCAATCCTCTAGAGGGCACTGCCACTGACTTGAGAATCCTCAGGGAGCATAGGAGAGAGTTGCGGTTGGGCTCTGTATCACGCTCCACTTCACTACTGAGGAAGGTGGTGCCATCACTCTATCACCAGAGTTTTCACTAACCTGTCAACTAGTAAGGCCAGAGCCACCTCCTCTATTATAATATCAAACCGCTTACTTGGAGCAATCTAACATCTGAGAAACTGAAGCAGATGTATGTTACTACTATCTACATCTTCTCTTCCTGGAGTTTCCAATGCCTCACAACACAGGACAGAGGATGTAAGAGATGTAACTGTATCCAGGCAGGGGTGCAAAATTCTTTTATCAATTTGCTTTTACCCTCTTTGACCACTGTATCTGCCTCCCCAAGACACCGAATGTTTTAGCGAGGAATCTTGTGTAACTCAATCCCTTCCCTATACACTGTCATGACTGAAAATAATGCTGGGATAGACTTTTTGGGGATCCAGCTTTTTTGTAACGAGTGTTCCTTCAGTTCTCATTTATATTTCCTTCTTTTGCTTCCAGTGGGTCTTCAGGCCTACCCACTCCCTTAAGCAAATCCACATCCTCTAGCCACAAAAACAGATCTCTATCTACCTTGCCTGCAAATAAAGTGAGGAGAGACACTGTGTATGCACCACCACTGGTTCTTCCCTGGAATACTTGCAAGGGATAGATGGTAGAGAATCCTTTGTTCTCGGGGGACCCAGAGGTTACCTTCAAGGCCTTACTAAAACCGCTAACAGGATCTACACACTTTCATCTGCTAACGTGATATGACATAGGCATATGGATCAAGAACAATTCTGACTGAAAACTCCCAGAACTAAAACGGGGCAACTGTTTAGCTGAAATCTGCCTATAGCTCCTGGGCTTGATAAAGTTCTCAGGGTACTGTGATCATCCTATGTCCTCGCGTGGATTCTTTTTAGTCCTTACTCCAAGTCTCCATATACATCCTTCACATTTCCCAGGCACCATGTACACTGGAGTCTCAACGTGCAATATTCATACCAACACCACCACTTCCTTAAAACACCAGTGCATGAGGCTGAGCTGATGAGACTTTGGGCCATTCTTATCCAGATCCTCTAATGGAATGAAAAGGAGACTGTAGCCAGTACATCAATTCTCACTTATACTTAGGCGGGTAGTCAATACCTTCCTCCGTCACAGTCAACAACACGGGTCTTTACAGTGTATGCATTCTGTCCTTTAAACTTGTAGGGTGTGGGGAAAGGTATGTTATCAGGACCTCTACCTTGGGTCCTAGCCTGTGAGATGTCACAGCACATGGTGAATTCAAGGACAGACAGAAATGAGACTTAGAGTGGAGAAACTGAGTCTTAGGTCCTGGACAGTGCTGCCAAGCACAAAGGCCCCAAGCACATCCAGTATTTATTGAATACAATTGTGGGAAGGAATAGGGAGTAGGTATGCTTTGAAGGCATCTAGTAAAATACTGCCAAACACCTGGCACGACGGCGCCAGGCAGGGCTGTAAGGGAGTCAGCACTGCTTAACTTGCTAGGATAGAAGAAATCGGTACTGGGACCAGGTGCAATTAGTAAGTAATCCACAAGGTCAGGGAGAAGCAATGGTTCAGGGAAAAGTATTTCAATTGGGGTCACACTGACCTCAGCTGCACATAACTCAGCAGAGCCCTGCTACTTCACAGACCAGGAGCTATGTTTCCATGGCAGCCATTAGCAAAGGAGCAATACCAGCCCAACTTTGCTAGCTGACATGCCCGTTTGAGTCATGCAGGGCTTTGGTCTGACTCCTGATGTAAATAAATATATTATTTATTTATGGGAGGCAAGAAGCATGTGCCACCCATAGCCCGCTGGGTAGGGATGTCCGCTACATAAACTGACATGGCTAACTTATACCAAGTAATTTTGTCATTGTGACCATTCAAGAAGAATCAGAGACATCACATGCAATTATATTTGTCTCAATTTGGGGATCACTCTGTTCTAGGATATGTGTTGTCTTTATGCAGGATTTTTTCCCTTTATCAATACAATATTTGGATATGTCACTTCTTCAGATAAAAACCTCTAAAAACCTACATTTATCTTGCATGAAATGCACAGATAGCATAGCCTGACTGGCTTGCCCAAACCTTTCTGCAGCTCAAAGTACAAAAAAACAGGACAATGACCAGACCACATCTTTGAAATGCTGCTTCCCTGGGCTCTCAGTCAGTGTTTAATCCTTCTCTACTGAGCTACAGTCTCCAATTCTGATAACTATCATCACTTCTTCCAAAAAAAGGTCTCACATCCATGAGACAACTGGGAAGGAGGGGATAAAATGTCTCATACATCTACCAAACCTGGCTTAGCTGTGCTCACACCAAAGGGAAGATCTCTGCATAAAGGTAGGTAGACTCCTCACACCTCTTTAGGATTCTCACTCTGATCTTGGCAGGCTTTCTGACTCATTCTCCAGCTGACCTGATGGGATGTGGTCTCTACACAGCGAAATACTGCCCTCCCTGGAAGTCCAAGAAGGAAAAGAAGGAACATCTCTTCAGGAGATGCCTGCCTGAGACACCCCGAACTGAAAGCAGAAATGGAGTTTGTTTGGTCCCTTTTGTACATAAGTGGGTGATAGCTTCGGTCTTTGAACTCATCTCGGCTCCTATGCACTTACTCTTCTGTTGACCTGAGGCTACCTTTCATACCAGGACACTCACTTCCCTGAGACAAATGAAAATCAAATGAGAGTGCAGAAATTCTGACCATTCCTGCCAGGAGGTTCCAATGGATTAATAAAGAGCCAGAGTAGTAGCTGAGAGAGTCCCAAATGCATTGTAATACATGTTTGCTTAGTCTTCACTCAATGTCTACACTCTGGCTCTTGCTCCTTATGAAACCCTCTTTGCTGGCCTGACTATGCCCCTACCCTTATACTAAAGACTCAAATTCTAGTGAAAACCTAGCAAGAATTAATTAGATATTACATATATATAGCCTAATATCCCACAATGCACAACATAGGTGCATATTGCGGGGCCACCTGTGTTCTGAGCTGGGTGGCTCTCTCACTACTAATTCAGAGTTCTTACCTTAAATCCTTTGAGAATGTGGAAATCTAGGTCTGATAATCAGGTCACACCCTTTTGAACAAAAGCCCTCCTCTAAAAAATAAAAATACATGAAAATACGTGTTTGTGTGTAAATATATATATATATATACACACACACACACACACATATACACACACGCATATATATATATATATATGTATATATATGTATGTATATATGAATGACGAAGTTATTTGACTTGTACGTTCCTGTCCTATGTTCTTCCCAGAGTTGATCAAAGGGTTTGTGTAGATTCAGGATGACACTGTAGCCCAGAGTTTAGATGAGTCTTCTGTCAGGGTCTTAGATTCTCACAGGCCTAGGATTTATTTATCTGACCGGAATTTACCCTCCCACCACAAATCTCTTTCCCACTGAGCATCACGTTGTTCTGAGTGAGTGGCTAGCTCTGCTGAAAGCTACCCAGAGCTCCATGCGAACTGTGAGATCACACATGTGCCTGTGTCACTTCCTTCAGATATATTTTGCTGAAACCTGTGAAAACCTGGCATTACTTCAGTTGAATCTGATGGACTCTCCTTACATACTTTGAACAAAACTTTTACTGGTCATCTGTTCTGTTGGTCTCCCCAAGCTGACATTACAGGAATGGCCTTTTGGATCCTCTTGTCAGCTACTGGTTATTCTCACAACCCTTACATGGGTTTCTCATATTGAAAGTGGCTGTAGAGGCTGGGGATGTAGCTCAGTGGCACTGTGCTTACCTGACAAGCACATGGTCCTGAGTTCAATCTCTGGTACCGGATCAGAAAAGAAAAGAAAAGAGAAAAGAGGCTGTACATGTGTTGCCTATTATCTATCATCACTCAAGATCTTGACTTTCTCACAAAGCCCCAAAGGAATTTTTGAGACACCCTAGGCATACGACATCCAGAACAGACAAGACCCAGGTACTGTGGCACACTATTTGCCTTGGGGTGGGCACAACCTTAAGAATTCCCTCAGCTGGCTCCTTATAGGCCCTCAGAATTCCATCAAAGATGGAGCCAATGCCCTCCTTAACTCATACTCAGCAGCTTTGGCAGACAGGACCATCAAACTGTTTTAGAAATACTCTGCTAATATCTCTAAATTCCCTACAACTACTCACCCAATTATTGTTTCCATAATCCTGGACATTTTCTTCATATACCAAGTGCCCATCTGCATTTGCCATGAGCCAACACTCCACTCTTTCTTTACTGAAAGCATTTCTCAATGCAACCAAACTATCATTTTATCAAAAGCCACTGAGACTATCAACCTCACCAGTCAATTATAAAGTCTCACCTGAGGCAAATGGAAAGTCACTCAATTTGTTAATTTCTCTAGACGGTCTACAATTTAAATCTCTTCCTCAAGCCTAAATTACTCACAAGCCCTCTAGATTATTTCCATCAGATCTCATTAACATCTCATCCCCAATAACTCTGTCTTAATACAACCTGTAAAGGGGGCTCTCTTAGCCAGTTCCATCTTGGTCTGGAAAAGGGAACCTAATCCTTCAGCCTCAAGGGGGTTATACTTTACAGCACCTATGTCATTACATCTCACAATCTGCCTATTTCAAATAGCAACCTTTCTCCCTTGTGGCTAAAAATTCTACCTGTGCCTAATTGGACAGGAACTTGTACGTTGGCCTA